CGTCGAGTGGGTACCGCATGCTCGAGCCGCCGTCGACGACGACGGCGCCGACCTTTGGGAAGCTCTATGTGCACCTCAAGGGCATCCACCTTTGCTCCAAAGACTGCCAGGGCGACGAGCACGCGGTCAATGTATTTGAAGGCGACACGTACTGCCGCATGAGCTTTGACGGGCTTGTGCGCGAGACCAACGAGGTTTACAAGACCGCGGACCCTGTCTTTGACGACAAGGTGTGCTTTGTGGTGACGAACCGCGATGCGTTCTTCCGACTCGAGACGATCGACCTCAACACGAATGCCGTGATTGGCGAAATGAAGGTGCTCCTGTTCGAGCTGCTGCAGGCCGACGCGGACCGCGCGCTCGCGTCAACGCCGTGGCTTCAGCCCCTCAAGCAGCTCGCGACGTCGGTCTTGCCGCCCGACCCGCATGTGCATTTGTACGCCACGCGCATGGACCTCGACACGTACCCACTGCTCCAGCGTATCAAGGAGAAGGACCGGACCGTGGGCCGTGCGCGCCTTCGACTGCGCTACGTTGAGGAGAAGACCAAACTCCTCTTGTACGTCCCCAAGCAAAAGGTATTGCTCCAAGGCCGGGAAGAGAAGGAGTTTGCGATCGAGACGCTCAAGCTCAACATTGACCGGCTCAATCACGTCATCAACTCGCTGCAGTGGCTCGAACAAGAGTACCTCGCTCTCATTTGCTGGAAAGAACCCGTCACGTCCGGCCTCGTGCTCTTTGGGTTTTGCGCCATTTGTCTCCGCGTCGACGCCGAGTACGCGCCGGCCATGGTCTTCATCTTCCTACTCGCGTACATGGTTCACACGCTGTTAGCGCGGCTCACGGGGCAGTACGTGCAGGCGTGGGTGGCCCATGACGACCCGGACGTCCTCGAGCGCACGCGGCTTTATCGTCCGATCGCGCATCTCTGGGTCGCGGTCGTCGAGGCGACGTTTGGGCCAGCGTTTTTGGCTCAGAAAGCGCGCAAGGAAAACATGTACACGTTTCTCAAGGTGGTTTACGAACCCAAAGACGCCGACCAGGAAGACACGACGGGGCTCATGGCGTCGGGCGCCGAAAGCTACTTTCTCGGGCGCACGCACATTGTGCGGACGTGCGCGCGGCCGATCTGGCGCAGCGTCGCCAACATCGTGTCGCACATCTCGTCGACGACGCCGACCAATCAAAAGAGCGTCTTCAAGAAGGAACACATCTTCCGCAACGTCCATGCGTCTTGGCCGCATGCCGCGGGGGTGGACCACCATACGCTCGTGTACCCGCTCCTCCAAGCCGCCAAGACGTTTGACAATGGCCGCCAACTGCTCGTGCCGTGGACGTCGTTTCCCGGCGCTGTGACGTTTGAAGTGTACAACTACTCGGAGGACCAGCCGCAGATCGAGACGCTCGTGGGCCGTGTCCGCATCCCGATTGCAATGTTAGCAAATGCGGACGAGACGACGATCACGCTACCGATGACCAGTCCCGAGAACAACGAGCTGCTCGACGAGTGCACGTTGACCGTACTTGATTGTGATGAGGGGACGTGTGCTAATACGATCTGTAGGTGCGACTGCAGCTGCGACTGCCCGTGGCGAAGCCCACCGACGGCGCGTGCAGCAGCGTCATTGGCACGCTTGGCGAGCGCAAAATGTCGCATTTCCTCCTCGAGGCGCTGCACGAGAAGGACAAGGCATCGTCGACGCTCGGAACCGTTCTCTTTGGCGCGTTTTACAAGGCCAAAGACACAACCAAGACGGTCCAAAACGCGATCGGTCGGATCTGTGCGACAGTCGTGTGCACGCAAAATCTCTTCAACTGGACGCACCCGTGGAAAACAGCTGCAGTCTTTGTGCTCTGCATTGCGGGGGCCATTCTCTTTTCGATCGTACCGGCGCGCTACCTCATCTTGTTCAGCGGTCTCCTCGAGGTACGCAGTAGCATCACCCAATGGCGTTCACTGCAAGTATTTTATGTCTAGTTTGGCGCGGGTCTGCGCAAGGATCGGCCGCCGAGTAACACGGCGCGCAACATTCTCTGGAACTTTATCTCGTCCATGCCGACCGACATTGACTTGATGCAGGTATTTGTGACATGCGTGTACTTAGGATTAGGTATATATATGGTTATCTCTAGGCGTACTCGACGGAGCGCGGTATCTACGCCACCAAGCGGGCCATAGACGAAGCGACGCAGCTGGAAGTTTGCAAGAAGATCAAGTTTCATGCACTTTGGATGGGCCCGATCTTGACACGGGGTGAGAACGACCGGGTGTGGAAGGTACTCGCGTTTTCTCTTCTCTGGATAAACATTGTCAATGCTTTGATAGACCATCTGCCTTGTGTACCGGTACCACCGGTTTGTGTTTTGGAAGTCGGTTGAAGAGGCCGAGTCGGGGCACCCGCCGTTTGGTCAGCTCATTGTACGTTGTCTAAGTCCATTAAAACACTATGAAATGCGTGTTTAGGTCGATCGTCTCGAAGACATCAAGGAGATTCCAGACCTCATGGCCCGCAAGTCGGACGACCCGCGGTTCATTTTCTACGTCCTGGGCGACACGGGCGAGGCCTACCAAGGTACTATCTCGCCGATTGCAACACTTGCCTTAGAAGCTGTAGACAAGCGCTTTTTTGGCTTCAACACGATGGAGCAGCGCGACGCGTTGCTGGGCGCGATCAAGGCTCATGGCTAAGTCCATGTTGTCTGCTTCCTAATGCGAATGTGTTGAATTCTGCACGGCCGCAATCGGCAATACGTTTGTACCAAGAGGCACGCTGGGAGTTGCGCGGGTCGGCCACCTCGGTGCTTCGTCACGTTGGTCCATGAGATGTCATTTCTCGCATAAGGATACGTGGCTTGCACGCCAGCGAGCTCGCCCAAAGTCCATTTTTGGTTCGACTTGGGCGTCATGAGGTGTATGGGAAGCATACGACTTGGCCTAGAGCGTCACGACTGCCAACTGCGAGGTTCGACGGTACGCGCGTCGATCTTGGCGCTCTGTGAATCAGTGTAGTCGTCGCGTCATATAATAATACGCTTGGATTATGTACAATTATGTTTCTTTCTCGAAGCGTGCGGATCGGACTGGAACGTCGCAACCATGAGAATCGCGGCGCAGCTCTATATGAAGAGGAGAGAGGAGATGAAATGGAAAGACACTGGGTGTACCATTGTCGGCGCGGAGCTTGACGGAAGTTGCTCGGTCGAACGGCAAAGCGCCTACACATGGCGACCGTCAGCTTGCGCGGAAAATATATCGGGAAGGAAAAGGGAAGCGCGTCGACGGCTTGCGCGACCATCTCTTTCTCAATGACGAGGCCCTTGATCTCGAGGAGCTTGAAAATGTCGTGCGCGAGGACGGCGTTCAACACGAGCATGCTGAGCGAGTCGTGCTGGGGCTCTTGGTGTCGTCCCCGTCCTTGAACTTGTGGAAGCGCGTTACGATGTTGGCGGCCAATTGCAAAATGAGTGAATCGATTGTTTGTTCAAGGACCGACGGCTAGAAGCATGCTGGGCTGGAGGTGCCACATATGAGGAGGACTTTTCAAAGCACCCGAGCCGACCTGTATCTTGCTGTTTGTATGGTGTTGAACAGTAGAGTGGAACGCCCTTGCCCCACCATCTTTGTGGCAGCTGCGGGTCATTGGTACAAGCGCAGCTCGGAGCGAGCCTCACCTTCCTCCTCTCGACACACATCGCTCTAGTACGGTGCGCCGCCATTGTGCTTGGAGGGATGAGCACGGTGGCATCCGCAGCGTCATCTGGTAGAGCCACCGATCGATTTTCACATGTACACAAAACCACCCACCAGTCGTTGCTGATATAACATCGGCGTTGGAAGCCGTACAGTCTGCTAGATGCAAATCGGTGTTATCCCTTTCCGAAGGCAAAATGTACTGCACACGCTCGGTTTCAGTGCGCGTGACACACAAAATATCGGGACGACGGCCAGCACCACTCTACATTGTATATGGGCACTCCACATGAACGAGCATCGATGTGCGCCTTGCAGCTGCACAGACGATGCTCGTCACAATTGCCCAGTGTTGTCGAATTCTGGTCGTGGGCCGCAGCGCTGCGTTCGTTTGGCTTGGCCGGCCACCAGATGGCGCAACAAAGTGGTGCCGTGGACTGCCACGTCATCGATTGAAATGCCCAACAGCGTCGCAGCTGACCGACGCGTAGAACGAAGGTGATGCTTGGCTGTCTGCCCATGACGTGTGCAACGACCAGTACAGTGCGAGATACTTTTTGCACCCTCAGCTCCAATCACTCGAGTTGATACCTGCAGCACAACATCGATGGTATACATACACACTCTGGGACACCTCCTTGCTGGCTAGGCCGCCAAGAAACGGTCATTCTACGCACATGAAGTATGTAGTCGAAGGTTCGGTGTCTGCTTCTGCCGGCGCGCCGATGTCCGACGATGCGCGTCGAGAGTAATAGTAGTAGCGCGAGGATCGATCCGGGCCGCAGTTGTGCCTGTCCGAAGTGCATGTATGCAGCTGCCACAGGACCGTCGAGCAAGGGCCGACCACTCGTTGTACGGTGTACGAATCTATCCAATACAAACATCAAGATGAAAGGGTTTTCGAGTGCTGGCGTGTTGCAGTTGATTTCTTCAACAAGCGATCGGATCATCCACAGTCCCACGAGAGGTTTGGATATGCGTTTCAACGCCAAAGATATTCTCTTAATCAAGTACATCAGTCCACTGTACCCCACCACATGCAACCCTGGTGCTACAAGCTACAACGAGAGAGGAGTAGAGAGGAATGCTGGGTAGGCACAAGTATTGCACGCTTCATAACCGTTACCATAGATGCATTAAAGGAGCAATGTATCGATACGTCTGGAGGATAAAGCACGGGTCGATGGAGGGCACGCAAGCCGTTTGATTGTTGAACAGTGACCCTTGTTTTGTACTTGATTAAGCGAATCGATGGTTTCATATCCGGCGCGGCGGGTTCGCATCCGGATCGGAGCCATTTGCCAGTTTGCAAGCTCGAGCCAAGGTATGGAACCAGCCATCTTCCGCAGCGTCGTCTTGCAGCAGCCAGACATTGCGACGATCATCTTTGGCAGCCATGATGGCGTCCCCGAAGACGTACACGCAGCCATTACCGCCTGCCGCGACCTAGTCGAGGTTGACGCCTCGGGATGCTACAAGTACGACGCGTCGTTCCGCCAGGCGTTTGCGCCCGACACCGAGTGGTCCAACGAGCTCGGCACGCTTCCGTCCTCGCCGTACCTTCGGCGCGACGGCCAATACGACGACCGCCTGCCGGTGCACATGGCGATCGTCGGTGGCTTTGCGCACCTCACCAAGCGCATCGTCCGCTTCCGGCCCGACCTTGCCTCGGAAGACGCGATCATCTTGGCCGTCACGGAACGCCGTCTCGAGATTGCCGACCTACTACTCAATGCGCGACCGACCGTACCCGAGCTCTATCGACGCATCAACTTTCCACATCGCTCGGGTACGTTGCATGGACACATGGCTGATACTAACGCAAGCTCAAGATGGCTCGGACCAGCGCTTCTCGGACCTTTTTTTGCACGACATGATGGCCAAGAAGGACGTCAAGGGCCTTCAGCTGCTCGTGCGCTTTGGCCTGCGCCCCAACGACTTTGACGCGCCCGACAGAAGCGTCACGCGAGAGAAAATGTTCCAACGTGCGATCTGGGACGCAACAGTCGAGAACGCGACGCTCGCCGTCGGCTGCTTCCCGTGGCTCATCTACCCGCGCATCTTGGACGACGTCGCAGGCTTGTCACTCGTCCAAACGCTCCACGAACGCGGTTTCGAGTGCTCCACGGCCGCCATGGACAAGGCGGCTGCAAAAGGCCATCTCGAAGTCGTCCAGTTCCTCCACACGCACCGAAGTGAGGGCTGTACGGTGAGGGCCATGGACAACGCCGCTTCCAACGGTCATCTCGAGGTCGTCCAGTTCCTCCACACGCACCGGAGCGAGGGGTGCACCGTCAAGGCTCTCGATGGCGCCATCGCTTCTGGCCACCTCGATGTCGTCCGCTTCCTCATCGAGCACCGAAGCGAAGGTGCATCATTGAACATTCTTGACGTTGCCGCTGGCTATGGTCATCTCGAGGTCGTGCAGTACCTCGATGGTCTCGGCTCGTTTGGCTGCACCGTCAATGCTGTCGATTCTGCAGCGATACACGGCCACCTCGACGTCGTCAATTTCTCTTGACGAACCGAAACGAAGGCTGCAGTCGCAACAAAGTCGTTGAAAACGCGTTCGATTACGGTCATTTGCAGTTGACCACTTATCTCCTCTCGCTCGGGTATCCGGTCGGGATCTTGGGAGTCGCTTGGGACAGCGCCGCCGCGCCCGAGCCACTCGACGTTGTCCAGCTCTTCGTCGGCTACGGCATGCCGTGGAGGTTCGAGTGGATCGAGGAAGCGTGTGCGGCCAACAACGTGCCGCTGATCCAGTTCTTCTGCGGGCACTTGGACGATTACGACGACCCGGACGACGTGCTTGACGAGGCAATCAGGCGCAAGGCGTGGGACGTGGTGCGCAACCTCTTGGCCTACAGCACGGCCGAGATCTCACTCGACGCGCTCCAGTCGGCGCTCGACGGGTGCCACTTTGACGTCGCGACCCAAATCCTGCGGCGTCGACCAGCCCTCGGCGACGACGAATGTCTCCGAGAGGCTGTAATCGACCAGAACGTGGAGGCAGTGCGCTTCCTCCTCGCGGCAGGCATTGGCCAGCCTCGCGACTGCCTCGTCGAGTTTGCGGGTCGTCGAGACCATGTGACGACGAGCAAGCTCCTGCTGCCGTACTGTATGGACGCAGTGAACCATGTCGACAACTTCAACTTTCTTTTGGATCTCGTCGCGCGGCCCAAATGCCATCGCCCAACGCTCCTTCGCGTGATCACAACCGAGCTCGCGCACCAAGGACACAAGGTCAGCCAAACCATGCAGCTACGCTAGCCTGCGACTTCACTCGACTGAGATTACACGACCTGTTATGCAGACAAAATAAAAGTCTTTCTCGTTTTGTGTGCTTCATAAAATCGATATCGCTCCGTCGAGTTTTCCCCGAACCAAATTTTTCGGAAAAGCAAAGGCCAACACTGGACGAGGCCCACCAATGTCGAACAACAAATCGTCTACTAGTACATTTTTGGTCAAGTTGTCTTTCATTTATTCGTTGTTAATGTCTGCAGCATAGCTGACGCCGCGGTAATGATATTCGATAGCAGCTGCTTCCGGCCCATTCGAAACGTGAGCGCCACCAAGAGGCGGTCGGGGAGGTCGTTGGTTTGGAGCAAGGCAGCGTCTTCTTCGAGCGAGGTGGGATACGCAGCAGCAAGCTCCTCCAGCACCTCGATAAGGACCGTAATGGCTCTTGTTTCGACGCGGACGTCCGATATCGGGCACGAGACATCAACGTCTTCGCAGTACGCCGTCAAGAAATGGCAGCGAAAGTACGGTAGCAGTGACGCAATGGACATGTCATGCATCAATCGGAAGCGGTTTTTGAACGGCATGAGGTGCGCCTTGATGAGGACCGCGCGGCGCTCCGTCTTGGACAAGACACTCGGGTACGACGTCTCGAGGTGCAGGTCCATGTCGAGATAGTCCCACTCATTCTCACGAAGCGCGAAACCGTAGTCGAGCAGCAGTTGGTCTAGTGCAAGCTATGAAATGTGTAGAATTGTCATCGATGTTGTACGGTTGGGGCGTCGACCGTAGCTGTTGAAGACTTGGTCGCCGCGCTTGTATCCGACGGACGAGTGCCACTCGAACGTCTTGTTCTCGTACGCGTAGATGGTGGCGTGGTTGGCGTGGTTGAGCATGTCGGCCAAGGGCACAAGCGCCGTCCATGGCAGGCGCCGGCCTACACTATCGCATTTGGAATGGCTGCCAGAGTAATGTCAAATACCAAACGTGCGAGCTTGGATCGTCTGCCACGCAAAACGAAAGGTTTCGAATGAAAAACTTGTCGCGTTAAAGGGCTCCTACAGACAAATAGTTAGACAGAGGATCGAAAATGGAGGTATGATTTACCGGGTAGAGGCGGAAGAGGCGGTCGGTGAGGCGTTCGTACCACGTGACGATCTCGGCGTTGCGCTGGTTGGCTATCTCCACGAGGCGCCTAGTGACGATAACCAATAAGAAATCATTTCTGCAATAAGAATTGGAGCGGAATACGGGTCTTGCAAGGACGCAAGCTCGTCGATGGTCCAGTTTTGAATCGACTCGGGCGCAGGCAGCGTCGAGAGGTACGGGTAGTAGAACGAGTGATGGCCCAGGTGCATGTGGTGCGCCACGAACGTCGCCAAGAGCGGGTCGTCGCGGGCGAAGAGGTCGGAATGTCGAGCAAAGATCGGGCCAAGGTCCGGGTCGAGCTTCACGGATGCCTCCGAGATCATGAGCGCTTCCGGGATTGACATGGCGATTTCATTGGGCGCAAGGTCCCGCGTCGCGACGACGCCACGACCGCCGTCGAGGTCGCGCGTGATCGCGAGCGCGTCGATCTTGGCGCCATGCTCTGTGAGCCAGCGCAGGAAGCGAGCTTCGTCGTCGTCGGCCATCCTGCGGTCGATCGCAAGAATTCGATGTTCGAGTGGGTACGTACGTTGTACATTCTGTACGACCGTACAGTACATTGTCCGTTTCATGGCGCTGGACGACCACCGCGGAGCGATCCAGAAGCCTGATGCGCCGCCACCAGGTCCTTGTTCTCGAAGCTGCACACGCGATGCTCTATACTGCTACCAAGTAGCGTCGCATCCTGCCTGGGAGAGCTCAGAGCGCCCCAGAGTGGGCATGTCGTCAAAACCAGATGGTCTTTCGACGCGCCCAGAGTGCCACGTCATATCATTCCAAATATGTACCCAAGGAATGCGCTTTTGGAATCAAAATCGGCGAGGCAAATGCACTTGCTCGTCGCTGCATCACGACGATGTCCGACGCAGCGCTAGAAATAGAGGACCTCAACGTGCGCGCGGGTGCAGACACTCGACTGTGGTGCAAGGTACTCGTGCCGTCATGGCGCAGAGCCCAAATCTCAAGTTGACGAAATCTGCAGCACCGATAGCGTCCATTTGCCTTTAGGTTCGCCTTACGCAGAAAGCACGCGACCTTGAGCGCGACCTCGACGTGGCCATGGAGATGATCAAGGCTACGGAGAAGATGGCGCAGGAGGAGCGCGACCTCCTGCACCTCTATAGCAAGCCCTTCTTGGCCGCCAACTTTGCGCACCGCGTGTGTGCGGGCTGGACGGTCGAGAACGGCGCTTCCTTCGAGGCGCTGATTCTGGCAGCCTTTGCCGACTCCGAGGCGTTTGAGCACCTCCGGTCGGTCTCCATGCAACATCCCTCGATTTTGATCCGCCTCGGTGGTTTGCAACAGATCAACCCGATGGAGGGTTATTCAGAGCAACTACTTCGTAAGCAGCAAGAGCGCGCCACGATCGCGATCGACGACGATGACGACGGCGACGAGAATGCGGCGCCAGCCAGCAGTTCCACGCGTCCCCGTGTCAAGACAGGCGGCATCGTCGGTCGCTACGCCCGGCGCTTGTAGGCGACTTCAAGCCGACACTCGTCCCTCGCCTTACGACCTGCGTGTCGACTGCAGCCACTCACAACGTCACACTCCATAGCCCCATCAAGCGTAATACTGTTTTGCATTTGAATCTTACGACACGTTGCACGTAGCCGCCCAGAAGCGACTGCAACAGAAAGGACGCATAGTGAAGCAAGCGCGAGAAGCGCACATGTGAAGCATGACGAGGAGGAGCATGGATGGAACCGATGCTGTTGTCCGTCGTCTCGTACACACATGCAGCATCCAAATTCATCGTCGCTACCGAAATCGACGGCTCGGAGGTGTACCGAAGATGGTGCATATTGCCTATGCCAGGGCATGTGTCGTCTGTGTCATCCAGCTTCATGACACAGGTGCTTCAAGACACAGTTGCTGCGACGCCGTGACGAGGATACGAGAAGGAACCCGGCACTATTGCGCCGGAAGGAGCATCGAATGCTCCTTCGCGAAGGATTGCATGGAACGGTGGTAGATAGACACATCGTTAATGCATTAGAGCATGAACGTCGAGAGGTACGCGTGCATAAAGTAGAGGTACATGCCACCAAAGACGACGCGCTGCGCGAAATTCGGAAGTACGACCACGATCGGCACGATAAAGCCCCAGAGCCACATGAACAAGATGGGCCACGTGAGCCAACCCCAGACCGGCCAGAGCCCAAACGAAAAGCTACAAAGTATGAGCGGACAGCGTGAATGCATGCCAGAAGGTACCTGACACCGGCGAGAATCATGGACGCGAGCATGCCATGGGTCGTGGTCTTGGCCGACTCGTACGTGAGCGTCTCGCCGAGGTAGCTCGACCGGTAGTACTCCATGTACGAGCCAAGGAGCACGACAAGCGTGCAAAAGAAGATGCCAAGGTTGACCATCGGGCGGTCCGCGTGCGACGCGTAGAGCAGCACGTGCAAGAAGCGGACTTCGTCCAAGCCGTAGCAGGCAGCGACGAAGAAGAGCGCGCTGATGAGCTTGGTCACGACGTTGCCCGTCGCCGAGCCTTCGCGGTGCGCGGGCGACGGCTCGGTCTCGGGCGCCAGCGGCGCGACCTCGGCCACCTCGTCGTCGTCGCTTGTCGTCGTTCGCTTCGGGCGCTGCATGGATTGTTGGGCTGACCAAGTCTCCGGCTGACGCAGGTGCGCGCTGTCCGGATACGGTGTACCCGCATCCGCCTGTCGACCGTACTAATGTTTTACTAGCCGACAAAATTTGATTCTTTTCTTTTTATCAATTTGTATTTTGTATGCGTATCTTGCGCTTTAAACATTTCCAGTGTCGGCTCGCTGCCACAGTCAGGTAGGAAAAGGCTTGCATCGGTCTATTTCGCCTGCGACACCCCGCGTTACCGACTGCGCCAGAGTGGTCTCGTCGACGTCAAAGTTCGACACACTGCAATCCACCGTTCGGCGTCCCTCCTCACAACTACATGAACCTGACGCGGAGACGATGACGGCTTGCCATCTCGCATACCCGGCTATCGCCTTGGGATCGCTTGCATTTCTCGTCAATGTCGGGTACTGGCGCACTCTTGGCAATAAGAACGAGGTCAAGTTGCTTCAAGCCTTGCCGGCAACTTCAGTGGAAGTCCTGTCTTTCAGGAAAAGGCACGTGTCACCGTGTGATTGGATACGTAAGCATTTCCCACTCGAATGGATCGCAAGGATGAGGCATCTCCATCCTCCTCCTTCGAAGAATGCTGGCAACATGCCGTCCACGCCATTGTCTTTGCCTCGAGGCGGTCGTCCTAGTCCCGCAGTCCCTAGTATTTGCTGACGTCGGCAAGGAAAACCCACATGTCGGCTTGTGTGCGATTGGCGATTGATCCAGCACGTGGCGCCATGGGTTGCTGTCCATAGAACTCGCGAGTCACATGGCATTCAATCCAAAGAATCAATTGTATATACAAATGTGAAGTCATAAAATACCAAATCCGTTTCCAAATCAACGGAAAGGCCGGCCTGTGCATGAAATCTAATGTTTCCATACATATTGCAAGTCCAAATAAATAATGGGATTAATAATGCAACGATTCCTGGACGCTGCAAGATCTTCCCACTTCCCAATTTGCCCTTTGCTGCCACTCATTTCGCCCAAGATGGCCGCGCCCCAGAAGCTCCAGCATTCAATCGTCGGTCTCGGCAACCCGCTCCTCGACATCTCGGCCAAGGTCCATGACGCCTTCCTCACCAAGTATGGCATCACGGTCGACAACGCGATCCTCGCCGAGGAGAAGCACCTGCCCATGTACGACGAGCTCACCAAGGAGTTCCAGGCCGAGTTCATCGCGGGCGGCGCGACGCAGAACTCGATCCGCGTTGCGCAGTGGATGCTCAAGAAGCAGTGCGCGAACGCGACCTCGTTCTTTGGCTGCGTCGGCAACGACGAGTTTGGCAAGGTGCTCAAGGACTGCGCCATCAAGGACGGCGTCAACGCCCACTACATGGTGCACGAGAAGGTCGCGACCGGCACGTGCGCCGTGTGCGTCAACGAGGCGGGCGAGCGCTCGCTCGTCGCCAACTTGAGCGCGGCCAACGAGTTTGAGCTCGCCCACTTGGACGACGCCGCGAGCAAGACCATCGTCGAGAACGGCAAGCTCTACTACTCGGCCGGCTTCCACTTGACCGTGTGCCCGCAGGCCATCATGAAGCTCGCCGAGCACGCGGCCTTCTCCAACAAGATCTTTATGCTCAACCTCTCGGCGCCGTTCATTGTGCAGTTCTTCAAGGATGCGCTCATGCCGGCCGTGCACCACGCCGACTTTGTGTTCGGTAACGAGAACGAAGCGCTCGAGTTTGGCAAGGCCCATGGCTGGGGCGAGGACCTCGCGGTCATTGCGCTCCGCCTCTCGCAGCTGCCCAAGGCCTCGGGCGCGCGCTGCCGCACGGTCGTCTTCACGCAAGGCGCCAAGCCCACGATCACGGTGCACAACGGCACCCTTCGCCTCTTCGATGTCCCGGCGCTTGACCAGAAGGAGATCGTCGACACGAACGGTGCTGGTGATGCTTTCGTCGGCGGCTTCATCGCGCAAATGGCGCTGGAGCAGCCCATCGAAAAGTGCGTCGATGCCGGTCACTGGGCCGCGCAGGTCGTCATTCGCCGCTCGGGCTGCACCTTCCCCGACACGTGCGACTACAAGTAAAGTACAAGGCAACGTCATATAAGATAACAGACTAGGATCGTTTTGGGAACCACTATACGACCAATCTTTGTGCAAGGTGTATACGTGGCGCGCTGGCGACACAGGACGGCTTCGGCTCGACCGCGCCAAGTGCGACCGTCGACAGCGTTGGGTGCAGCATGTCGCCGCCCGTGGGTACCAGCTTGCTCGTCACTGCGCACGTATGCGGCATGTACGCCAAGGACGACGGCATGGCGCGACGCTATCCTCTCGACTTGCCACCGGGTTTCGTTTGCTCGATACCAATTTCACTTGTTGGGAGCACGACTACAACCATAGACTTGACCATTGCACGGGCTCAAAGCCCGATGCCATGTGACATGAGATGTGTACCAGCTTCACCTCGAAGCTCGAGACTAGCGTACTCACGACCAGCGCCGTGGTTGATGGTCCACAGTCAACCGAGCGGTGTCGTACGCCTTGCCGGCCACGTATGCTTTCCTATATATAGGTCGCAGGATGACGTGGCACTCTCGTGTGCAGGCGCAGTATGGTCGTCATCTTGGATATTGTCCGTTGGCTCAAAATAGATTCCCGGCGGCGCAAGCGAGCATCACATCGATGGGGTCGCACTCGGGCTACAAGGGCTTCAAGTCGTGGTCGGGCCAAGAATGCCCGACGCTCAAGCCCGGCGAGAGCTACGACAGCCGGTCGACCAAGTTTAGCGCAATGGGCCAAAGCATCATGAGCACCATGTGCGTGCAAAACCCAGCGTTTGGCAGCGTCTACCGCGCCGACTTTGGGCTCGTGACGCAGGCCGACTATGCGATGAGGCCGGCGAAGCCGTGCTACGACGACGTGGTCGCAGGCAAAAAGTTTCTCGGGCAAAGTTTGTACGAAAGCGACTTTGTGCACTTTTCCAACCACGGAAAAGCCTTGTTGGCCAAGCCAAAGGACGACTTCAAACGCGTCTTTGACGCACTCGCCAGAGCCGTCGACGACGACGAACCCAACAACGCGACGGTCGACGACCCGCGCCTGCCCCGCGACCGCATCAAGGAGCTCCTGACGACAGTGTACGGCAGCCCGCCATCGACGCGCCTTCTCGAGATGTACAGCCACATGTTTGACCCGATTCCGGACGGCTACGTGACGTGGCCTATCTTTGAAGAGGCCATGGACCGCATCCACCACTTCGTCGCCAACAGCGTCGGCAAGCTCCATGGCAAACCGAGCTGGATGGAGTATTTGAGTTTGCGCCGACTCGTGCCCAGCACCGTGCCGAGCAGCAGCCACCAGATCGATTATGGTACGTACGGATCGGACCCGCTCGCGCGACCGTACTTGAGTCGCACGCTTGGGATGGCGTCGACGACGTCCGACCTCGCCGACGGGACGACCAAGAACACGTGTCACATTCCGCGCTACGGCGGCTTTTTGCCCGAAGCACCCCACAACCCGATTGCGGTCGCCCAAGGCGACGGCACGGTGCCGCGTAATAAGGGCGCGGACCTTCGGTTGTACCACCTCAACAACATTCCCGGCTACACGGGGCACAAGCCCGTCGACTCGAAGAACGTACGGGGCGAGGCCACGACGGGGACCGATCCACGGTCGACCAACGGCTACATCTATCGCCCGCACCTCTAAGCTGGCACAAGACTATTTCACATGCTCTTTTTGTCTTGTGGTGATTAGGGTAGGGTAGGACTAGGGCGACGCAAAGAGTCGCGAGTGCGGCCGGACGGCGTAGACAAAGTCGAGGACAGTCGAATCGCGCGCCGTGACGCGATGCACCATGCTCTCCAAAAGCCACTCGGTGACGAAGCATCCGAGTTGCGCATGCTCTAGTATCCTTATTGTTATAACTTGCAACGACAAAATAACGAAATGGCACGAACCTGCGTCGCGCAATAATTTGGCCGAGAACGATGCCACGGGGGCTGTTGCGCGTGCTGTCTGTCCTTTCTACAGAGAGCGGTGTAACTAACAATGGACAAAGAACGTAGCGCACATGGTTGCATCGAAAGAGACACGCGCCGTCGTCATGAGCGAGAATGGCACGGAGCACATCGACGCGGTTGTACTGCGCCGCCACGTGCAGCGCTGTATCGCCTTGCTATAAACATGCCGTTAGGTATCTGACATCGATACTGAGAAGGATAGAGTACGGCATTGGTGTCGGTCATCGCGGCGGGCGACGCATGCAACAGAGACTGGACGTCGTCGAGCCTGCCCAGCTTTGCCAGCACATGCAGCACCGTGTCGCCTTGCTACGTGCAGCACCCTCAAGCATGGAAGCACCTCAAAGAGCAAATTTCTACTACCTCCGAGTGTTGCTCCAGCGTGGCCAACTTGGCCGTCTCTAAGCATTCGAAAATTGGACTGAGTTTGTTCGGAGAGTGCAATCGCAGAACCGATGCGAGTGAGCTGGTTGCGAAGGCGTAAGTGGGTCGCTGCCAAGTCGAACGCACAAGCGCCATCCTACATCGAGGGGATAGCGTGTCGTCCACGCGAGCACTGCAGACGTTGGTGACGGCAAACACGTCGGCGCCGGCGTCGACAAGGTACTGGAGAATGTCATAGTGACCAGCTTGTGCCGCGAGATGCAGGGCTGTGCAACCATTCTACAGCAAACTCGCACGTTATACCCAAGCAAAGCGATCGAACCTCGTTGCGCGCTTCGATGTGGGGAGTCCCCTCGGCTAGAATGCGCAATAACGCGTCCACTTTGTTGGACGCCGCCGCATAGTGCAGCCGCGTGTTGCCAGCCTACGCCATTGGTTGTCATAAACCGTCGAGCCGAGCTCTGTTCTCTGGAGCGCTACTGCATCGGGGGCGATGGCCAACACCGCGGCGAGGTCTATGCATCCCAAGGCGTCGATCAAAGATGCTCTTTTGTGCACAGTAAACGCAGCGCGTCGTACCGAGGTCTCGTAGGCGTGCAGTGACTGTCGTATGCATGCGCCAGCCCGCCAAATCGGCGGCATACTGCCCTTTCTATCGATCGCAAAAGGTTATACCGTTCCCGTCGCATATGCGGCAGCGATGGACGACTGCTGTGCTACTACGTACGTGGTTCTTGTGCAAGACGTTGGCGCGATGGGCGAGAAGCAGCTCGACACACGCCACGTGCCCGCCGACGGCCGCTTTGTGAAGCGGCGTGTTGCCGCCGTCATTGGTCACGTTGACGCTGGCGCCGCGCTCGACGAGCAGTGCCGCCATCTCGGACCGTCCCGCCACGCACGCATGATGCAGCGGTGTGTTGCCATCCTACGCATACCTCATACATCTAAACAATGTATCATTTTGATCGTGGGCGCACAGCATCGGTGCTGTCGAGGTAGCGGATGTACGCATGGGCCGCTTTCATATCGTTGCGAAGTATTGCCGTATGGAGCGGCGTGCACGACGGCGTCAGCGGGACATCATACGACGCAGGAAGCGGTGGCTTTGGCTTGAGGAGCTTCTGGAGTCGTATCGGTCGCGCCAGCGATTTGGTCGGCGAAGCGACCATTTTACCGAGTGCGAAACCGCTGCACGAGAAAAACAGTGTTTCCATCCACTGGCTCGGTGGAAAATCCGAGATATTGAGAAAAAGGCCGGATCGATCTCGCTTTTTGTTCCATGGTTTAGCCTCCGTTTTCGAAGTCTGTCAGTCGTCAATTGTGCCAAGCGAGAATGGACCTGGTCATGGAAGAGGTCGTTGACCCGAGCTTCGAGCCGTCGGATGCCGAGGTCCTTCAGCACGCAACGTTCCTTGGCATGGACGTCATCAACGACAAGGACCTCCTTTGGATCGCTCGCGATGCGCTCAAGGTACAGAGCATGGTCCCGTGCCATATCCACGACGACGTAGGCCAACCTGCCTGAGCACTGGAAGCCGTGCAAGATGGTCGAGACGGACCACATTTACTACTACAACTTTGCCACCGGCGCCAGTACGTGGGACCACCCCTGCGACGAGGTACGCGTTGGACACATCGACGCGAAAACGAACGTCGCTGCTAGCGATTTCGCCAGCTCTACCACGAGCACAAGGCCACGTTGATGGCGCAAGCTTCCGAGGTGCGCCCGCCCGAGGCGACGACGCCGCCCACAGGCCGGGTGGACAGCAAAGTGCTCGTCGACGATATTCAGTGTGCACTCGCCGCCGCCACCGCGTCGCTTCAGGACGCACAAGCGATGCTCGCCGAGCTCGTTGGCGCCGAAGCGCGCAAATGGGAGGCAGAGCTCGCCGCGCGGGACGCCACGTGGCAGCGCCAAGTCGATGATCTCTCGCGGCGGCTGGCGGCCGCGCAGGTGCAACCACGAGCTTCGTCCGAGGACAAGGACTGGGAAATCATCGAGTGAGAGAGTTGCTGCTGCACGTAACACGCTGTTTTGTATACGGTATTCATCAACATTTTGATGCGGGAAGTGACGGTCGCTAAAGCATTGCATGACAGCGTGACCGACGCACTGAGCTGGTCGCCGAGATCGCTGCGCTATACACAGCACTGGTACGGATGACGCCGTCACTGCAAATTGGATGATTCAAATCGCGCTGGGGTTGTGCGCCAGTATTGCGCGAACTCTTAACTATCGCAGTCGAAGTAACCAACTACCGGCGTGTGTATACCTCATAGTACTGAGCAAAGATCACGTGGCGTTGTGAAACGGCAGGACACGGCAGCAATGGACGCGGGCCAAGGAGACAGCATCGTTCTCGAGGAAGAGATCGATCCCAACTATGAGCCGACGGAAGATGAGGTCCTCGAGTACGCCAAGTGGCTCGGCATGGACCTCGAGGCCGAGCGGGACCTCTTTTGGATTGCCCGGGAAGGGCTCAAGGTACCTTCTCGTCATAGTTGGACACGACTGCTTCCTGTGGCGTAGGCCCCGCTGCCCGAGAACTGGAAGCCGTGCAAGACGACGGATACGGGCGAAATTTACTACTTCAACTTTGCCTCGGGCGCCAGCACGTGGGACCATCCGTGCGACGAGGTGCATTTTGTTCAACGTCCTTTTTCATGGCTCTACGGCGCTACGAAATATGTAGTACTATCGCAAGCTCTACGACGACCACAAGAAGAAATCGATTCACGGCAAAAAGGTGATGTAAGGGTTTGGACGGAACACACCCAATTTTGGCGCTTAGGACTCGGATTCCAAGAAGAAGAAGGAAAAAGACGATGTCGATGAGATTTTGGGCAAAAAAAGCAAGAAAAAGAAAGCACCGCCCAAGACCGACGGGCTCTCAGCCGTCAAGACGAGCCTCGACAAAAAGCCCCTTGGCGGGCTTCCCAGCAAGGTACTTATCTCTGCAGCCTATCTCTCGAGACAAGACTTTGCTTTCGTGTAGTTGGGCCCTACGTCCGGCGGGTTAGGCCCGCTGGGGGGGCTCAAGCCCGTGGGGGGGCTCGGCGTACGTTGTCCACTTGATTATATCACCATTGAACATGTGCCTTAGCGCCCGGGACCCAAGGCGTTAGCGCGCGCCGAGAGCGACGATGAAAAGGAAAACGACGACGACGACGAAGAGGAAGCCAAAGTCGAAATCAAAGCGATTGGGCGGAAGCCGCTTCTCGGGGTGCCCAAAGCCGGTGCCAAGGAAGAGCTCGATAAGAAATCTGCGTCACTGGAGAAGGAGCTCGCAGACCTCGAGTCGGCGCACGCCGAAAAGATCGCGGCGCTCGAGGCCAAAGTGGCGGCCCAAGAAGACACGCTGCGCGACACCATCGCCACCAACGAGAAAAAATTGTCCAAAATCCAAGCCTCGCACGACGACGAGGTCGCGAGCATGAAGGAGCTCGAGAAGAAGCTCTCGAAGCGCCGAAAAGACATGGAGACCGAGAACCGCAAGCAGCTCGACGAGCTCGAAGAGGCGTTTGTCGACAAGAAGCGCGAGCTGCGCCAGCACCAGGACAAGGACACCAAGGGAATTGAAGAGAAGCACCGCCAGCGCATCGACGAGCTCTTGGCCAAGCACGAACATGCGCTGGAAGAGATGCGGCGCAAGCAAGAAATGGAAACCGAGCACCGTGAGAAGGTCGAAGCCGAGACCTCGAGCCGCCTCCAAGATGAAGTGGACGGACTCAAAGCCGAGGTGGCCAAGCTCAAGAGCAAGCTGCAGCAAGCCGACGACGAGGAGACTGAACGCAACACCAAGCTCACGGAGGCTCGGGCCACAATCGAGAGGTTGGAAGCGCGAGTCCAGGACCTTGAAGCGTCGAGCACAACGCCCGATGATGGTACAGCGCGAGAGTCGGCAGTCGCGGCCGAAGCACAAAAGTGGGCCGCCAAGCTCGAGGCAGAGACGACGGCGCTAGAAGCAAAGTGGCGCGCCAACATGGTAGAGGTGACGACGAAGCTCGACGCTGTTACAGCCGAGCGGGATGCAGCGGTGACGGCAGCGTCCGACGCAAACACAGTCTGGCAGCGCAAACTGCAAGAAGCTACTGCAGCATCGTCCGAGTCAGTGATGCGCGAGACCGCGCCAGACACAAGCGTCCTCGACGCGCTGCAAGCCAAATATGAAGCGCTTCAATCCAAACTTGACGCGCTTCAATCCGAACATGACGCGCTTCAATCCGAACATGACGCGCTCGATACCGCCCACGCAGCCCTGCAAGCCAAATATGACGCGCTTCATTCGACCCACGAAGCGCTTCAAAGCGATCTCCGTGGCGAAGTGGAGAGCGCTACTGCCAAAGCTGCCGAGTGGCAGGCAAAATGCGAAGCGGCGACGCGCGACCAAGCCGACTGGCAGGCAAAATACGAAGCGGCGTGCAACGCGGCACCAGTAGTTACCACAGGCGACAGTGACGCAACGGCGTGGACTGCCAAGACCGAGGCGCTTCAATCGGCCGCCAAGGCCAGAGAGGCGACCTTACAAGCCGAGATAGCCGACCTGCGAGAGGCCAAAGCTGCCGACGACGACGCCATGTCGGCGTTGACAGCCGCCAAAGACGCGCTACAAACCAAGTTCGATGCACTCGTGACGTCCCATGCTGCCACGACACTAGCGCTCGACGACCTCCAGGTTGCGCGTCTAGCGAGCGACACTCAGTCCGCGTCAGTGCAATCAGACGAAATCGACCGATGGAAGCGCCAGTGTACATCGCTCGAGACCCAATTGGCCGAGTCGGCGACCGAGCACGAAGCTGCGATTGAAACACTTCAAAAGAGCCAACGCCAGCTGCAGGACAACCTAGCGGCCGCCGAGAACGACTATCGCGCCGAGACAAGTGCGCTCAACACCCGCTTCCACGAAGAAAAGAAGCACCTCGAAGCGCAGTTGGCCCAGGTGCAGTCGCAGTGGACGTCGCTTCAGAGCCAAGAGTCGTCGACGTCAAGTGTTCTCTCGGCGCTGCAAAATCAACTTCGCCAGGCGCTCGACGAAAAGGCGGCAGTACACCTGTCGATGGACGAACAGCTCGAGGCGACGCGCAAGACAGCAGCGGTGTACGAGACCACGATTTCAAGCTTGAAGCGCGACGCATCGGACGTCCAGACAACCCATGCAGCTGCGCTCCAGGCCGCGCTCTCCGAGACGCACAAAGTTGAAGCCGCCAAGCGGGCCTTGGACGATCAAAAGGCGGCACTCGAGCGCAAGCTCAAGCAGAAAGACGCCGAGATCGCCGCGCTCACGGCGCAGCTGCAGGCAGAGCCCTCAAGCAGCCCGTCCGCGACGGTGCCGGCGTGGGAGCTCGAGAAGTGGACGACGCAGGCCAAGGCGCTCGAAGCAGAAAAGACCGAAGTACAAGCACGCTACGAGACCGCCATGCACGAGCTCGACGCGCTTGGTGACCAACACCACCGCCTTCAGCTGGAAAAAGACCAAGCGGAAAAGAAGGGCCGGCAGCTCGAGGCCGATCGGGACGCGGCGCAGCTCAAACTCAAAAGCGTCCAAGCCGAATGCGATACACTCACCTCCAAACTGCGCAGTGTCTCGGCCGAAGTCGCGGACGCGAAGAGCGCAGCCAACAAACTCAAAATGACAACCCAGTCGCTCGAGGCACAGCTCCAAAAGCAAGCCGACGAGGCATCGTCGTGGGAAGCCAGAGCAAGCAAGCACCGCGACGCGGCGGAAGCGCTCGAGCTCCAACTGCGTTCGCTCAAGCTTCAGATGGACGAAAGCAGCTTTCAGCTGTCGATGGAGCAGCAAGAAAAGACATTGCTTCAGCAAGAAGTCGATGCGCTCAAAGCCAAAGCGATGGCCGCCGTCCCAACCGACAAGAGCTCGTCCGAGAAGGCGAATAGCTCGGCGTGGAAGGAACAGGTCGACACGCTACTTCTCGAAAAGCAGCAAGCGGTCGAGAAGCTCCGTTTGATGACCCAAAAGCTCCAGGACGTTGAGAGCAAGAGCAAAACCTCCATCGAGTCCCTGGAGCGATCTATGGCGTCGATAACCACGGAGAAGCAGGCCATCCAGGAGCGCTGCGAGAAGGTCGCCAAGCAACTGCAGCAAGCCGAAGGTGCGGTGCGCCGTCTCGAGCAAGAGCGAGACGAGATCGATGACAACTACAAGCGCACGAGCCAAGACAAGGTCGACGTCGAGAGCAAGGTGCGGTCGCTTGTCGAGTCGCAACGATCGCTCGAAACGCAGCTGCGGGAGGCAACCCACCATGTACGGCTGTGAGACCAATGCGGTGCTTGATGCGGATTAGGTCGAGTCGCTTGAAGATGAGAAACGCCAGTTGCAGTACAGCGCGAGTGCATTCGAGAGCCGGCTCAAACGCTACGAAACCGATATTGACCGGCTCAAGACCGAGTTGGCTACGACAACAACCGCCAAAGAGACTGCCGAGACCAAGTTGCGCTCTGAGACTGCATCGCTCGAGGCAAAGCTCAAGGCGATTCGCCAAGAGCTAGCCGACTCGCTTCAGCGACGCTCCAACGACGACGAGTCGCAGCGAGATCAGCTGACGTCGCAACACAAACGCGAGCTCGACGACCTCAAAAAAGAGCTGTTGGCCAAGGTTGCGACCGCCGAGGCCGACACCGAGACGCTGCGTCAGAGTGTGCACGACCGCGCCAAGGAGCTGCAGCTCAAATCCAAGGAGCTTGAGACTATCTCGCTGCAGCGGCAAAAGCTCGAGGTTTTGTCTGCTTCGGTTCAAGAGCAGGCACGACAAGAGAAGGTGCAAGCCGCCACCGATCTGGAGGCGCTCAAAGCGCGGTTGAAAGCCGTACAAACCGAGAAAGACGAACTGTTTCTTCTCGCGTCGGCGTCGACTCCGGTGGCGCCGACGATGTCGTCGTCGACGACGGCGAGCAACCACGAGCTGCACTCGGTCAAGTTGCAAATGGCCCACGTCAACCAAAACGAGCTCGAGACGCACCTCAAAGAGGTCACGTCGCAGCTCGATACGTGGCGGCGCAAAGCCAGCATGCTAGATCTGCGCTGCCGCGACTTGGCGCTGGAAATCGAAGGCCTCCATGTGGAGAACGCGACGCTGCGGTCGGCGGCGCAGCGACTGCACACGAACGCGCTCGAGTCGCTCTCGAGCCTCGAGCGTCTCAACTACGAGCACAAGAAGCGGCTGTTGCGCTCCGAGTACATGGGCCAGCTGCGCGACTTTTCCGATCGAGAGGAGCTCGCTTTGGCGCGGCAGAAAGCGCGCGTCCGCGCGAGCTGCGAGCGGCAGCTGGAAGAGGTCGTGCTGGCGTTTCAGCACCAAACCACGCAGCGCCTCGAACACGAAGAAACCGAGTTCCAAGCCGCACTGCGCCACTGCCAACACGATCATGAGCTCCAGCTCCAGCGGGCTCTCAAAGGCTTCCACGTAAAAGCACAGAGGGATTGTGGAGATGACCGTACGTGACATATGTAGGACAAACTTGCGGCCTACCAGCGCGAGCTCCAAGACAAGCAAACCGTACAGATGCACGCCATGGCCAAGCAATTGCACGAGGTGCGTCTGAATCGTTGCATGCAACTTCGCATCATTGCGGATGATACATGCAGGAGGAAGCCCATTTGGCAGCACGGCTTCGGGATACCCACCAGCTCAACCGCGAAGACGCGCTCTCCAAAGTCCAGAATCTACAACCTGGCGAGCTCCCCGAGCTCGTGCTCGACAAGCCGCAACCACTGCAACAACCAGCACCATCGTCGCCGTACCGATCCCCCAACCCGGCGTGGGAGGCCCATTCACGACCAGCAGCCAAGCAAAAGGTCCGTCGACGCAACGCGGAAAGTCGCCACCGACGCGTTCAATGGCAGCGCAAGATTGAGAAGGAAGTCGCACTCCTTGAGAAGGCCAAGCACTTTGTTGCAAAACAGAAGAAAGCGCTGAAAACCCGCATGGCCAAGCTTCAGTGCGAGAAAGACTGGTGGCGCCACGAGACGTCCATATCGCCGAAAGACCCGAGCTGGGTCTCAGAGATGCGGCAGCTTCTCGAGCTTGTAGAGATGCAGATTTTTACACCAAGACTGATGACGACGCTGTGTAGCACGCTGAGCAACTGGCCAATGACGCACGGGACCTCAAGGCGACGGAGAAGTGGGTAGCCAAACGCGCGAGCAAGATCCACGCGTTGGAGCGCGCGTGTGACCACGTGGACGAGGACCACGACGATGACGATGACGTGTCGACAAACGAGTCGGTCGACGCGACACTCGAGCGGCTTCACGATGAGTTGCTTCAGGACGGCGCCGCCATGTCGCACAAGCTGCGCCCCCGTGACCGCGAGAACATTGCGTGGCCGTCGGATGTGCCCCCCGTGCACCGCCCGCAGTACGACTATCGAAGCTACGAGCAACCCGCGTACGCGAGAACGTACTCGGCACCCATGCAGCAGCTTCACCCGTCCGAGATGGCAGCCCAAAACCGCTACTACTACCATCGCCAGCCCGACGAGCGGTACACTTTGGCGATGCAACACCACGCCGCATGACTTGGGTCCTAGGCACTATGGTGCGCTTGCGACACCCTCGTACAAGTCGCACATTGGGGGCAGCAAGGTCACCGACTGGGCGGCCAAGCGTGAAATGGCCAGCGCCGCGGCCAGTGCCCATGGATCGTATCTGGGCCAGCTCGCCAAGGAGCTGCAGGCGTACACGCGGCAGGCAGAGCCGGCATTGCGGCTCTCGGATGGAGAAGTCGACTTGGCCTAGTAAATTGACTTGCATCGACGCAAAAACACAGAACTGAATGTCAAAAACACAGAATTGAATGTCAACGGATTGATACATTTCTTAAAGGGCAATGCCTGAATGTATTGCAGACGGCTTTGGTGCAGCGGGTCTCGCAAAGATGCTGCGCCGGCACTTAGGCTCGGAGCGAGCCCGAGATGGCACCATGGTACACGGACCGGTTGCCCTTCTTGCTCTTGAGCCAGCACGTCCCGCCGTTGTGAATGTTCCAAACCCACACGGAGCACCCGGGAGTCGCATGGCAGTCGTCGCAGCAGTCGTCCGACGACGTGCGCGGAATCGCTGCCACATCGTTGCCGTAGTAGTCGATGTTGGCTTCGATCGCGCAGGTCGTCAGGGCCGCGTCGACGACACCGGCCATAGCCCCATGGTACGTCGACCGCGTCCCCTTCTTGGACTTCAGCCAGCAGGTGCCGCCGTTGTGAAGGTTCCAGACGTACACCTTGCAGCCAGGCGTCGCCTTGCAGTCGGCGCAGCAGTCGTCGGCCGACTTGCGGGCCACCGACGCAATGTCGTTGCCGTAGTAGTCGGTGTTGTGCTCCATGGGCGGGCACTGGTCGTTGGCAGGTGCGTCGATGACGCCAGCCTTGGCACCGTAGTACGTAGTGCGAGTGCCCTTCTTGGTCTTTAACCAACAAGTCCCACCGTCGTGGCGGTTCCAGACGTAGAGCTTGCAACCGGGCGTCGCCTTGCAGTCGGCGCAGCAGTCGTCCGCCGACGCACGCGAGACCGCGGCCACGTCGTTGCCGTAGTAGTCCGTGTCCATCTCCATCGGCGGGCACGTGACCGGCGCTTTCGTAGCAACGGAGGCATCCACGGTGCCGGCGACCGCGCCGGGGTACACGGAGCGGGTGCCTTTCTTCGACTTCAACCAACAAGTCCCACCGTCGTGGTGGTTCCAGACGTAGAGCTTGCAACCGGGCGTCACCTTGCAGTCGGCGCAGCAGTCGGCGGCAGACGCGCGCCGAATTGCCGCCACATCGTTGCCGTAGTAATCAGTATCCATCTCCACGGGACCGCACGCGGCATCCGATGTGGGCACTGGCGTCACCACCTTGGGCGTCGGCGCGGGTGTCGGGGCAAGCGTCGGGGCAGACGTCGGGGCAGACGTCGGGGCAAGAGTCGGGGCAAGAGTCGGGGCAAGAGTCGGGGCTTCCGTGGGCGCGGCAGTGGCCGCTGGTGGCGCGTCCGCCAAAAAGTCGGCAACGGCCTCGCCAATCACCTTGATTGAGTCCTTCATCGGGCCGTCGACATACGAGAGGTAGGCATCTTCACAATGTGTCGCGCCTTCAATGACCACGAAGCGCGACTTGGGGTTCTTGGGCTGCTTGGTGACACTGAGGCCCGACCACGGGTCGATTGCGCCATTAGTGAAAATGACGTTCTCAACATCAATGTCCCAGCCGCCGTACTTGGCGTTGGTCGCGTCGACGTTGGCGCGCATCGTCGCAGCGTCCACATGGAAGCGCGTCGTGCACGGCGAGTAGCGGTGCACGATCTCGGGGCTCGCGTACGCAAGGCCGCGAAATGGCGTGTTGTCGCCCGTGCTGGCCGTGATGAGGAAGCCGAATTCATTGCACGTCTGCCACGTCCACTGGCCAAACTCGGGGTTGGCGGCTATGCAACCAAGACACGATAAGTTTGTGCCGTTCACTGTGACTGTGGAAGGTGTACCTTGGCGCAAAGCGCGGACCGGGACCCACTTGCTGCCGTTGAAGACAAAGCCCGGCGCGCACCCATGGTAGATGGCGAGCTTCCACTTGCTCATGCGGTCCATGGGCGTCTGTCCATTGGTGGCGTCCGCCATGTAGTCACAGACCTCCTTGATCGAGTAGCCATGGTCGCGGCCATTCTGTCCGATGCCGTGGTAGTAGCTCATGACTTCCCACTCGATCGCTTGCTTCTCTTGGAGAGTCGCCGTCGCGCCGCACGAGCCAAACTTGGTGCGAAGCGGGTTGCCGCCCGCGACGACGAGCGCGTGAAAGTCATTGATGGCCGATTCAAAGTTGTCGAGACAGCGCTGGCCACCATGGTACTTGAGGCCGCGAGTGACGCCTTCCATGTACGCCTTGTGGTCGAACGAGGCTTGAACAGGCGCCGACGATGCCACCGCACTACAACATTTAATACCAACGTGAGCGTCCCGACACGCGAGCAAGGGCAATATGTACCCGGCGACCAAGGACGGGTACTTGAGCTTGAACCACGACGAGAGCATGCCGGAGTACGAGTAGCCCCACGCGATCCAGCGTGCGTCTTGGAGGCTGTGCTTTTCCGTAAAGAAGGCATGGAACGTCGCCTAATGCGAGAATGAACATAAACATGAGGTGACAGGAGACTGACAAGATCGGCCAGCGCCTGCGTCGACGAGTGGTACTTGCGCATCGATGCCTCGCTTTGGTCGCCGTTCGGCACCGAATCGCCGTAGTAGCTATGGAGGCGTGAGATGGTACACTCAAGTGGCAGAAGATTGATACCGGTGTTCTACGGCCACGATCATCGCCTTGTGCTTGATGGCCAAGTCGACCATGGTGGAGCCCGTGTCTGAGACCGTGTACTTCGACGCCTCCCACTCGCCGTTGATGTACAGAAAGACGGGTGAGCCCGCGCCGCCGTAGTACTCGTCGTTGTAATGGTAACGCTGGCTCCAGTGGCCGGCACTCGTGTCGTTGTGGTCAAGAATGGCCTCGTCAAACCAAAGGTCCACGACAGTGTTCTCCAGCCGGTTGGCAATCGACGCGTTCCCGAGCTTCCGCTCGCGGAGCGCGTGCATGTCAAAAGGCGGAGCGATCTGCCCGAGGACGAGCAGCGGCAACCCGATGAGCGCCGAGACGAGCTTGGGACCCAGCATGGCGATTGCAAAATGAACCTCGAATACGTCCTGTTGTAGTTAGTGCGCTGGGGTGTTGCATCTGCGATTTTCCGTGTCGCATTTCGATGGGTGCTACGTCGCGGATACCAGCTATCGTGTCTTGCGCTAAATGTTCCGAGTGCTATGCCATGCCACGCGCTTCACTCCACACTACCGGTACTAGAAAACTGGTTGACAACAGATTGTCATGATACAGCTCGGTACAACTCTAGTCGCAGACTCAAGGATGCGCTGGGATACGTCTGTCGCGGTGAACGAGATGTACGACATGACAGATCCAAGGGGTATGGCAGCTGGGTGACTGCCGATGGGACTGCATCTTTGCATCAAACAGGATGAGGTGTATTCGTGTATTCGGTGCGTCGGCTGACGTCCCTTGCATCTCATGGCACTTGTCTCGACTATGCGACCACGCGATGCCAGGCTCGCCCGTGGTTTAAGCTGTATTAGTACAACGTACTGTCACCCAGTAAAGAGGCAGTTTAGGACCAACGCCACATGACGACTGATGTTTCTCGCATCTTTCACATATTGTCTTAACGTTAACGTTAGTTATAGAATAATGTGAATCAATGTTTGCCACATCAAAAGTGCTGCTAGGACCTTTAGCAGCATCGCGGTTCAGAACCAACTTGTCTTACTCATCCACGCTGTGAACGACAAGTGCCACAGCCGAGCCCTCGGACCACACGTGACGCCGAACGCCCAGTGGCTCGGCTGGCTTGCAACGACGGTCGACGCCCACAAGTGTAGCCCGCTGCCGAGCCCGACTCTCAAGCCGCCATGGCTGGTTCGCCTGCGCAACGCGACGAAGCTGTTGACCCAGATGACTCTGGCCGAAGCCCGCCAAGGACAGCCTTCCAGCTCCCGACCCGCCATTTGGACGTCGACGGTGACTTTTACGCGACGCCTACAGCCGTCGCCTCCGCTGCCGAGCTCCGACTACCCGACGCCATCTTGCCCAAGTACGCCGACTTCGTCTACCAAGTGATGCTTCGCGCGGTCAAGCTCCGCGCTCATTTGCACTGGCTCGACAGGGCCGACCAAGCGTGCCTCTTTTGCCCCGAGCACGAGACGTACCGCCACTGTCTCGTAGACTGCGACTTCATCAAGGACGTGTGGAGCACCCTCCACGCGGTCACGGCCCCCTTGGGTGTAGTCTTGCCGACAACACTCTCGGGCTACCTCTACTCGACGCCGAAGACGGCCTCCAACATGCACCGAGCCGCTTTCCACTACCTTTGGCCAGTGCTCCGCGCCTGCGTCTGGTTCAACGTCTGGCGCGTCCGAAACGATCGCGTCTTTCACACCGACTTCCCACTGCAAAGTCCATGGACGATTGCCGTCAAAGCGGCGCGTGTCGCTCAAATGCACTTGCACCACAGCCTCGTTCAAATCCCGGGTAGATGGCTCTCCGTCGCCTTCTCCGGCTCCTCGCTCAACACGATTCCGCGCCAGCACCTTGTCCCGCGGATCGCGCTCCTGCCTCCGCCGGCCTAGATCAAGATCAACACCAGCGCCTACACAACGAAGAAAGTCCGACAATTTTATTTAGCGTAGATTTACGTATCTATTTTAATAGAAGACCCACTTCAACAACAACCAACATGTCTTACGGAAATGCAGCCCTGTTGTTCTGTGCCGGACTCAAACGGCTGGAACGGGAATCACGAGTGGGATTCGCATGCATCGTCCAAGTCTGTTTTTCCGCCACACACATCCTCAGATCAAACGAGCCACTCCTTGTATGGCGCATCCACTTGATGCTCCCGCCCTTAACGCTCGTTTTGGCGGTGGCAGCCCTCGCCAAATCGAGACTCATGTGCATACACGGTACGTGGACCCTGCTCAAGTGTGCCACTGCGAGATATGTCGTGCGCATCGGCGATGTGTAATATTACCAGGGCACGCGTTGCTCTGGCATGGAATAATGCGTTTGCACGGGTGATTGCATTGCACCTATTTCTGATTCGCGTGCGTCAGGAGCTTGCCATCCATGCATCGGCAGGACCTGCATCCCAAGCGCGTCGGACGCAGCAAGGGGCTTGAGGAATATGCGTCTTGTGCTGCCCTACCAAAATGTTCGCGTCGTTATTCTAGACTATCATTGCCTTGCGTACAAATTGTGAGTACAAATTGTACTAACAAGCGCCATCGTGGTGGGCTGTATTCATACAGCACGCCCAGTCACCGAGGGGGGTCGCCCGGAACCCACTGGTTGACCCACCAGTTTCGGCCGCCCCGCCCCCCATACAACCCTATTTATAGAAAACCCGCCGGTCTACGGGGCCTGGCACCGATCTGACCAATCACATGCGTCCATTTTTGGAGCAACCAATCACAGCAAGCAACGTCTTTTGCAACCAACTCCCCGCTGGACGATGGCGTCGATATCGACTACACCCGCCCGATCATACACCAGCTCGAGCCGGCGCTGCTCAAAGTCGTCAACCGCGCCTCGGGCACGATGGCTGATATCCTCAAGGACCGGGACCTGGGCATGAAGGCTGCCGACACGTCAGTTTTCTGTCGACAGTTCGACTCGCTCGCGGATTTCCGCACATTTTTCGGCGAGTTCGTTACTCCGCGCACTCGAGCTCAAGGTATGAAAATCTCTTACGTGAACACGCTAATCAATTACATAGACAATGCGGCCTCCGTTGATCCAGGTATCGCCGAAGTCGCGGTCGGGAACGAGACGCAGATCGGCGAGCTGCTCGGCGCCGTAGCAGCATTTCAAGCTGGCGATCTCCCGGATGTCCAATTTGGTTTCGACGCCAACGAGACCAGTCTTTCCAAGGTCAGCCAGTCCCCCTCGATGAGCGTCGTCTCTGGTACCCTTCTCCCATAACGCTTGCTTTCGGTACAATCACGACGTAGCCCTTCAAGTGCCTTCGGTTCTTGCACTCTTCGAGTTCACGGCCAACTGCTTGCGTAATTTACACGCGAAGGAGAACGGTCAGCGATGTGCTCCATGTCATTTCGTGACGTCAATATAGGGTCGGCAAACATGGGGGCCAAGTTCAACTCGCTTGCAGGAAGATGGTACAAGAAGGCCCCCAAGCTGGTGGAGACTTCGACGACGTCGGCCATGCTCAAGAGGAACGTCATCACCGCAACCGCCAAGGGTCAGTATCGGCTCCTCTCCGAGTACGTCAAGTCGTACAACAAGTGGCGCATCGAGTGGTCGGCAGCGCTGCCAAGTCCACCATGATCCACGCGTGTGGGGTCGAGTGGACATCTTCCAGCACGTGCTCAAGAGCGACAACGACTACGTCTCCTTCCGCGGCGACGAAGTAAAGGCCATTTTTCACACCGTTTGAATATTAGATATCTCCATTGTACTCTTATTGTCCTCCAACATGAGTGTACGTACACACGCAGTCCAACAGGATGCCGGTCACCCCGGTGGGCTGCCCGAAACCACCGGGTGCGGCTCACGAGGCCCCCGACCGCCACCTGAGGCTCAGTTTGACCCGCGGGGTCGTCCAAAATCCCGTAGGACCCCCGAAATTTGACCTCGGCTATGTAACAGATACAGGGGCCGGGCGTCCTCGACTTTGGCACGTGCCCGTGGAGCTGTTTTGGGAGATTTTGAGGTGCGAAGCGGGGTCGTGGATGAGGTTTCCAGCTTTCGCATATTGAGACCAAGGTGTGGCAAGTTTGGTATGTTCGCTACGTCCAATCGTTGTACACTTAAACTACTTATTCATATCGGGCTTTTCGTTTACCTACGTCCATGCCGGGAGCCTCGTCCCACGAAGACAGTGTAAATATTCCTAGCAACAAGAATTGGATATCCTGGGGCATTGAAGCTTATGGATAAGCCACAGACACTGAGCATGTTGAGATCGAGTTGTTCGGTGTTCGGCTACCCTCTGCCTCGTTTCAACAGCATGCAGACGCTGTCATGCACGCAATGTCACATGGTAGCCGTGGCACAATGGACGGTCGCTGTGCGTACCGCCGATTATTCCGTGATCACATAAAAGCCAGCGGTCCTTTCTTGCGATGGCTTAAACCGCGTGGCACCCACCGACATATTTGTTGTACGTTAGCCATGACTCATGCTTGGGACACGTGATGCACGTCGCATGACCGAGTCCGAGTCTTCGGCCGACGTCCGAGTCACGTCGGTGC